TACCAGGTCCTACCTTGGCAGTAACCAGCAAGTAAGCAGACAGCTGGAAAAAACTGAAGGCCAAGTGTGATGACAGGTAAGTATATAAGGTCCCTGAGGAGTAAGGGGAAGGGTAAGGTGGACAGCAGCCTAGAAAGTTACTTGGTTTGGTCTTGTGAGGATTAGCTTCAAATGGTAGCGCATTCAGTACACTTCCGCTCGTAAACAACTTATTTGTCCTGCCCACTTTTATTTAAAAAAAATTTCCCTCACAAAACGTTAAACACAAAACGTAGCTTTTCCCTTCAGCAATATAAAATTTCCTACGTCTCACCGACTTCAGGTTGTCTTTTTCTACAAAGCCTTCGCCACAAAGGCTGTCTCAGACACGCTTGTCACACAGGCTCGTCCTTGTCCCCCGGCCACACAGACTGGTTTTCACCACACAGGTGATCCGCTCCTACCCAGTCTGCCAGACACACAGACTGGTTCTAGGGTGGGGCCCTCCTGACTCCACCAGACCCCTCCTCTGTCCTCTTACATAGTATTTGAGGTTGAATAAAGACATTAGTCCATCAAGTCCAACCTATTAGGATCTCATTCTAGGAGTACCTGTACCCCTGTATATTACCTGTACCCCTGTATATTACCTGTACCCCTGTATATTACCTGTATCACCTGGGACCTCTCACTTAGCAGCTTGGGATATCTTATGGAGGCCCGAATGAGCCGGCTTCCTTCAGCTGGGCTGGTTGCCTCTAGGCCTCCAGCACTCTCAACACTTCCCCCTACACCTATAACTGGGCCCTACAAATCTGCCATCCTGGCTATACCCAGTTTTCAGTAACCAGTATTTTTTTGGGTTGACATAGAAGAGCCGAATGAGTTGACATGCCCCATAGACATCTGTACTGACTATTACTTATTCCTTCTCTTCAACAGGGTGAAGATGGTTTTCCCGGCTCCAAAGGAGATATGGGGCTCAAAGGAGACAGAGTAAGACCAACCAACAGCACAATGTCCATCATTTGTCTTCATTTAAAATCCATTTTGGTTGCTTTGAATCCCTCAAACTCTAAAGTATCATTGATCATTCTGCATATTGGGTTTCGGGCATGGAGATTGTATGTCCACCAAAGGCAACCAACCCCTACACCTTTCCCCCGATCCTTCCACCCGGCAGATGTGGTCTTTATGGGAAGAATTTCCTAAGAATTGGGAGTATCCCGATGTCATCAGGACAGTTGGGTCAGACCATGCTGAGTAGAAGGAGACGTGAATATATCAGGGGCACTACAAGTCACAATACATTTTAAGACTAAATCCCGTTATAATTCGGAAAGGAAATATGACATTTTAGGTGAACCAGTGATGGAATTTCTTGTGGTTTCCCATTTCAGTGTCTTCAGCTCATTGTTTCATCTTCTTGTTTGATGGTGCCATTGTAGGGGGATCCAGGAACTGTAGGAGGACGCGGAGAGGATGGTCCTGAAGGGCCGAAAGGGCAGTCTGGACCGCTGGGAGAGCTGGGAGCACTGGGAATTTTTGGAGAAAAGGTGATACCTCCAGATAATTGGGCACTGTACGTGTTTTTTTATTCAGTCATGATATTATAGAGATCTGTTTCCTGCCACCAGGGAAAGCTAGGAGTTCCGGGACTCCCGGGATATCCAGGACGTCAAGGTGCGAAGGTGAGTTCATCCAACTGACACGGGTATCATCTAACCATCTATGAGGGGACTATGCCGGACCTCGGGGAACTATGCTATGGAACAGCAATGATTAGATGTGTCTCATTTCAGGGTTCCACAGGATTTCCTGGTTCAGTTGGCGTGGTTGGAGAAAAAGGCAAGAGGGTGAGTTTTCAAAGCCCAGAGTTCTGTTTTTTTATTGGGTCAGTACACCCAAGCTCACATTTGGCTGGGTGCTGATGGCTAATCGTGCCTTCTTAGAGCATCTGCGCAAAGTGGAATAATCAGTTTTGGGTGAACCTGATCATTTTATTACTGTGCTTATCTAAGCACATCATCTGAAGTAGGGATGCACAGATGCCGAGTATTTGCCCGAGTACTCATACTGGCCCAAACACTCAGATGCCTGGCCCGATACCTAAGCTTCCGGTATCAGGAAGCCGGCTTTCTGGTCAAACAGGACTATGCTCCACTTGTGACGAGGGAGCATAGAGCCGGCTTCCCGGCCAATCAGGAAGCTGGGCAGCGTGTAATGACTCGCCGCCTAGCTTCCTGATTGGTCGGGAAGCTGGCCATTCAGGAAGCTGGATAGCAAGTCATTACCCGCCCCCCGGCTTTCTGATTGTCCAGAAAGCCGGCTTCATGCTCCCTCGTCACATGGTTAATGAGGGAGCATGGAGCCGGCTTCCTGACCAATCAGGAAGCTAGGCGGCGAGTCATTACACGCTGCCCAGCTTCCTGATCGGTCGAGAAGCTGGCCAATCTGGAAGCCGTGCAACGAGTCATTACTTGGCGCCCGGCTTCCTGGCCAATCAGGAAGCCGGGTGGCGAGTCATTACACGCCGCCTGGCTTCTTTAATGGGACTTCCGGTATCAGTATTCGGCGTCGGCGAGTACCGAAAAGAAATATCAGTACCGGTATCGGTGCAACCCAAATCTGAAACTCCCGCGTCTAGAAAGTAAGAGGGATCTGTGACAAAAAAAAAAAGTAGAACTGCACCCAAAATCATTCCACAAATAAAATATCTCCCCTTTTGGTATCTGATCATTTTTTAACATCATTGTAAAGTTCCCCACGCTGTTGATCCTGCCAGTATTTGTGATAATGTCCTACTTCCTGTGGAGGGCCATGAACGGTAATGCAGCAACGCTCAATTAGAAGTGCTGTTGTCGGCCCTCCATTGAATCTTCACATTGATGCACCAAAGCCGAGGTGAGACGAGGTTACTACATTTAAACTTGTTCACGCTGGAAGTGAGGAGATTACGAGGGGACATGATTCTGATGTACAAGATGTTGGGTGGTGACGGTAACATCAGCAATAAACTTTTTACTCTAAACTCCGTAACAAGGACTAGAGGCCGCCACCTAAAACTGGCGGAGAAAAGATTCAACCACAAGGGGCGTAGGGGCTTTATTTCAACTCTCCTACAAGCCGTGGTATCAGCTGAGTGTATTGAATCATTCATTAGATACCTTCCTCAGAGACCGTAACATACAGGGGTACAGGTACTCTTAAAGGAGAACTATGGGGGTCAGGGCTTTTCTCCATAGTTCTCCTTAGGGTAACGGGAGGACACAAACTAGCATCCTCCTGTCACCCTAAGCTCAGTATATAGGGAGCTGCAGCTCGCGGTATACTGAGACGCCGCAGCTGAAGCGGATCCCGACGTAGGTGACGGGATCCGCCCAGCTGCGTGAGTGACAGCTGGCTCTGCCTATCTAGAGGCAGAGCCAGCTGTACCCGCCCCCTCCCCCGTCCGTTCCGCCAGTCAGCGCTGACGGATCGGAGGAAGGGAATCCAGCCCCTCCCCTGTCACCGCAGAGAGCCGTGACAGGATCGAGAGGTGAGCGAACACCGGTATATGTTCGCTCACTTCCCGATCTACTGAGCCGACTCTCATAAGCATTTTGCATCTCTAATGTCTGTTTGTAGCCTGTGAAGTGAATGTTGCCAATGCCGGAGATTAGTATATGACGGTAACATACGGTAACATGAAAATAATCCTGATTTCTTTTTATTTCTGTAGGGAAGAAGCGGACAGCCCGGATCACCGGGACAGCGGGGACCCTCCGTAAGGACACTATTAATGATGCCGTATTAAAACGCTGTTGTGTTTATTGATATATATGTATATACACACACTGATCGGCCATAACATAATGACCACCCACCTAATATTGAGTAGGTCCCCTGTTTCCTGACCCGTCCAGGCATGGACTCCTCTAGATCTCTGAAGGTCTGCTGTGGTATCTCAATGACCCCCCCTAATATTGAGTAGGTCCCCCTTTTCCTGACCCGTCCAGGCATGGACTCCACTAGACCTCTGAAGGTCTGCTGTGGTATCTGGATGACCCCCCTAATATTGAGTAGGCCCCCCTTTTCCTGACCCGTCCAGGCATGGACTCCACTAGACCTCTGAAGGTCTGCTGTGGTATCTTAATGACCCCCCCTAATATTGAGTATGTCTCCCTTTTCCTGACCCATCCAGGCATGGACTCCACTAGACCTCTGAAGGTCTGCTGTGGTATCTCAATGACCCCCCTAATATTGAGTATGTCCCCCTTTTCCTGACCCATCCAGGCATGGACTCCACTAGACCTCTGAAGGTATGCTGTGTTATCTAGATGACCCCCCTAATATTAAATAGGTCCCCCTTTTCCTGACCCATCCAGGCATGGACTCCACTAGACCTCTGAAGGTCTGCTGTGGTATCTCAATGACCCCCCTAATATTAAATAGGTCCCCCTTTTCCTGACCCGTCCAGGCATGGACTCCTCTAGATCTCTGAAGGTCTGCTGTGGTATCTCAATGACCCCCCTAATATTAAATAGGTCCCCCTTTTCCTGACCCGTCCAGGCATGGACCCCACTAGACCTCTGAGGGTGTGCTGTGGTATCTGGCACCCAGCCGTCAGTAGCAGAGCCTATAAGTCCTGTAAGTTGTGAGGTGATCGGCCTCCATGGATCAGACTTGTTTCTCCAGCACATCCCACAGATGATCGATTGGACTGAGATCTGGAGAATTTGGAGGCCAAGTCATCACCTCAGACTCGTTGTTGTGTTCTTCACCCATGTGTGCAGTGTGGCCGGGCGCATTATTCTGCTGAGAGTGGCCACTGCCATCAGGGAATACCGTGTCCATGAAGGGGGGGACTTGGTCAGTGACAATGTTTAGGTCGGTGGTCTGTGTCAGAGTGACATCCACATGAATGAAGGACCCGAGGTGTCCCAGCAGAACATTGCCCAAAGCATCACACTGCCTCCGCCGGCTTGCCTACCTCTCATTGGTCATAACGCTGTGGCTGATCGGTGTGTATATAGATATACTGTCTATATGTACAGTATATAGATCTAGATATAGGAAGCCTCGTGAAGAAACACTTATCTAACACCTTTAAAATGGGAGCTCATACTGCTACCACTAAGATGTCCTTCATGTTGGTCTTCGCTGCTGCTGCCCTGAAGAATATCTGTCAACCTCAATCATCATTATCACTGGTTACATTGCACTTTCTTTATCACTTTGTTTTCAGGGCACGAGAGGTGAACGAGGTCAGAGTGGGCCAACTGGAAAGCCTGGACTCAAGGTGATCTTTTATCCTCCATCATCTCTTTTCTATGTGATTGTCTGTCCCGCCTGTTTTCTATCAGTTCCTGATAATAATTTACCCCTCCAGCACCCATTATGTATTATGCCGCACTTACATACACCTCAGTCCTCGCCCCCCAAGGAGCTTACAATCTAAGGTCCCTATCTCACATACTAGAGACAATTTAGACAGGAGCCAAGGAACCACCCACCAGCATGTCCTTGTATCATTGGAAAGAACTGGAGTACGCAGAGGAAACATCACCACAGGAGCCATGTAAACTCCATGCAGATAGTGTTCTGGCCGGGAACTCAGTGCCAAAAGGCAGAAGCGCTAACCACTAAGCCACTGCGCATGCCATATATGCATAATCCTGCTCAGTCAGTCTTATCATTCACACTCCCCTGCCAGACTGCATAGCCTGCTTTCATCTTCTTGTATCACCTGCATGCTCATTGAACTATGAGTGTGTATTATCACTCTCCTGAGGTCCTCCCTATGCCCCCCTACCCCTGTAAACAAACTGAAGACCTCTCTCAGTGAGATTGACTGTCTTCCATGGCTTTTTTGCGGCGTGCCAGGCCTAGCATTGAACACACATGTCTTCCATGGCTCCTGTGTTAGGTCTGGCATTGAACATGGCTTCCATGGCTCTTGTGTCAGGCCTGCCATTGAACACACATGTCTTCCATGACTCCTGTGTTAGGCCTGCCATTGAACACACGTCTTCCATGGCTACTGAATTAGGCCTGTCATTGAACATGCTTCCATGGCTCTTATGTCAGGCCTGGCATTGAGCACACACATGTCTTCCATGGCTCCTGTCTTATGCCTGGCATTGAACATGTCTTCCATGGCTCTTGTGTCAGGCCTGCCATTGAACACACGTCTTCCATGGCTCCTGTGTTAGGTCTGGCATTGAACATGTCTTCCATGGCTCCTGTGTTAAGGCCCGGCACTGCAATATGTCTTCAATGGTTCCTATGTCATGTCTGGCATTGAACGCATCTTCCATGGCTTATACATTAGGCCTGGCACATAACATGGCTCCCATGGCTCCTGTGTTGGATCTGGCATTGAGTACACATGTCTTCCATTGCTCCTATGTCATGTCTGGCATTGAACACACATGTCTTCCATGGCTCCTGTCTTAGGCCTGGCATTGAGCATACATGTCTTCCATGGCTCCTGTCTTAGGCCTGGCATTGAGCACACATGTCTTCCATGGCTCCTGGTTCCTTTGCCCCCTTACCAATGTAAACAGGGCTGATTTGCGCACCGTGGGAAGATAATATAAAGATATATTCTAATTCTCTAGAATTATTTTTAAATGCAATTTTTATTCTATTTTTTTAATAAATGCACCAATAGACCAGAGGCCAACTTATTTTTGATTTAATAATAAATGAAATACAGTGTAGAAAGTATACTGTGTCTATAGCGTGGGGGGGGGGCGGACGGTGGTACTCTTTCCACCTCCCAATATAAATAGGAGAACCTGTGCCGTTACCTTTTGGTGCTCTTTTTATGCTGCATTAATGTGCTCAGCGGTTGCAGTGTTGTCCTCTTCTCTCCTACCAAAAAGTCCCTTCTCATCTTCCTTTTTTATGTCATGGGGAGCCGGCGGTCTCTTCCTGGTTCTTGGAGCTGCTTCCCCCCATGACGTGGTGCCAGCCAGATATCACACATGTGCAGACAGAGATCTGGGACCATTGTCTGTTGACATGGTTCCAGCCTGCAAGATGTCGTGAATGGTGGAAAGTGAAGCCTCCTGGTTTATGTGACCTTGGTATCCCAGGAGGCATTGCACACGTCATCTCACCTAGGCGAGGAATGAGGAAGTGGGAGGCTATTAGTATACAAAGGGGGAAAATGGTATATATGATCTTGGAAAGGGGGAGGGGAGGAATGACATGGGGCATGCTTTAGTATTTAATAGAAGGTCCACTTTTAGGTACAATATGGCCTCCTGTATTGGAAATACAATGTATCTAATGCCCTTATCTATGTACAGGGAGATTCCGGTAATGATGGTGTTGCTGGATCTGCTGGAGAGAAGGTCAGTACTTCAGTATACGGTATATCTTATATATCTGCTCTACTCCCTGTTTATTCCACAATGATCTATCAAATATCTGATGACACAATCTCTTCTGTGGGACTATGTTATGGAGATGATGGGGGGGGGTTCCCTAGAACAGTTCTTTCTTGCTGGTCTACACAATA